AATTTAAACAACATATGTACAGTTCAGAAGCAAACACAAAAACTTCAATATAAGTACAAAATATAGAAAGAATAACAATATACAATGATAAAATCTCAAATTGGAATCAAATAAAATACCAAAAATGTCAAAAGAAAAAGTCCTTCATGTCATAGCAAAATATGTAAACATGGAGGGATTTTCCAAAACACAAAGCATTCAAAAAGGATTCTACACTCCTTTAATGTACCTTTACGAAGGATGCGTATGTTAGGATACTCATCCAATATCCTAAGAGAATTATTTGTCAATTCCTAGTGGTCAATTTTATGGTCGTCCTAGATATGAATGTCCCGTGCTCCAATGTTGTTTCTTGTTGGTTGGCCTGACTATCAATGTCACTTCAAATGTTGCTTCCTTTTAGTCGTCTAAACTGTCAATGTCACAGACTTCGATGCTGTTTCCTATTCGACCAAAATGTATAAAAACGCATTATCTGTAACGTTTACGACCAGGAAGGACTAGGGACGCGGTCCCGGATCCGTAGTCCGGGATCTCGATTCTCTTCTGGATTCGGACCGCGTACTTTCTGGATGCTTGTAGAATACAGGTTCTACTTCATATCAAGTCTTTTTACGTTTACTCAATATGGGAGTTGGGATAATCGGATTTGAGTAGCATGTCGTGTCGCCGGATCCTTGCGCTCGTTTTCCGACTAGGTAAACTCGTAATACTTCAATTACATCAAAATGACGTATTTACATGCAGTTGTAACAGCGTACACTTAGGTCAACCAGTAAGTTATTTAATTTTATATAGAAGGATTACTAAATGAAATTAGACTTTGTAATCAATATTAAAAATATGTCCGTAAATTTTGTTGAAAAGTATTTTAAATAGTTTGGTTTTTGTTTCAATGTTAAATTATGTACTTTTAAGTGATTAGAATATATAAACAAAATTATTCAATAATCTACTGAATTTCTGCAATTTTTATTTGGTTCAAATTAAAAAACCTTATATAGAAATAATTGTATTATTATTTATGGATAATTGTGTACGATTGATTGATGCATTCGTATAAAGATTGATATGAAATGAAAATTAATTGTCTGTCATTCGCCTACCAGGATGAAACGGTTGTCCACTGTCTCTAAGTTTCTAGTCAGGGTCTAACAATGAGTTCAATAATGATAAACAATATGCCCAATTGTGGAACTTTTTGCATATTCATTTATCGAAATTGACTTCATTCATCTTTTTTTAACGATAATAAGATAATTTTGTTGATTTTGCAAACGTAGCACTCTAGTATTGATCATTATAATTAGTATTATGCACGTTCGTAATATTATTACTAATATTAAGTTTACAATAAAGTTTCCTTTGGTCTCAGATGTATGTGATATCATAGTAATCTTCTA